TTTGATATGCGTCTCCGTATTGGATCTCAGTTGAACTTTTATAAGTAACGGGTGATTTTTTAAGAGCTTGATACCTTTTTTTTTAAAAAAAACGCATAAAATTTGCAAAATCTCATCGGTTCTTTATTTGAAACGTTAGATTGGTCCATGACATTTACTTTTTGAAGATAATTTCATTTAAATGTTGACCGCGGCTGCGTCTTAGGTGGTCCATTCGGAAAGTCCAATTTTGGGCAACTTTTTCGAGCATTTCGGCCGGAATAGCCCGAATTTCTTCGGAAATGTTGTCTTCCAAAGCTGGAATAGTTGCTGGCTTATTTCTGTAGACTTTAGACTTGACGTAGCCCCACAAAAAATAGTCTAAAGGCGTCAAATCGCATGATCTTGGTGGCCAACTTACCGGTCCATTTCTTGAGATGAATTGTTCTCCGAAGTTTTCCCTCAAAATGGCCATAGAATCGCGAGCTGTGTGGCATGTAGCGCCATCTTGTTGAAACCACATGTCAACCAAGTTCAGTTCTTCCATTTTTGGCAACAAAAAAGTTTGTTAGCATCGAACGATAGCGATCGCCATTCACCGTAACGTTGCGTCCAACAGCATCTTTGAAAAAATACGGTCCAATGATTCCACCAGCGTACAAACCACACCAAACAGTGCATTTTTCGGGATGCATGGGCAGTTCTTGAACGGCTTCTGGTTGCTCTTCACTCCAAATGCGGCAATTTTGCTTATTTACGAAGCCATTCAACCAGAAATGAGCCTCATCGCTGAACAAAATTTGTCGATAAAAAAGCGGATTTTCTGCCAACTTTTCTAGGTAATAAAATTCAATGATTTGCAAGCGTTGCTCGTTAGTAAGTCTATTCATGATGAAATGTCAAAGCATACTGAGCATCTTTCTCTTTGACACCATGTCTGAAATCCCACGTGATCTGTCAAATACTAATGCATGAAAATCCTAACCTCAAAAAAATCACCCGTTAAAAGTACATACAAGTGCATTCTCGCACTCGCACAATCCCATTCGTGTATGCACTCTCCATCATCGACACATTTTACCTTTAAACATTGGCTACAGTCATTGACGTTCACTTCACGCATGTATTCGATACGTGACAAGTGATGATTTGATTTGTGGGAAAAGGGAGATCGGAGGTGTTGCTGATATACATATATTTGATGTAATGTCTTGTGGGGCCAGCTTTTTCGACTGATTAATGAAGATTTATTTTGTGACCATAATATTGTTGTAGAAATTTGCTTCTTGATTAGGCTGGCGCATATGAGCGAATCTCACGGTTTGTTTATATTAGTGCCACTCCCTTCTCTCGCCATAAAAAAAAACAATAGAGCATTCTTCTTGTATTTATTTCAATCAATGGAGTTCCAGAAATAAGTGCAATAAAAAATTAATCAAGGATTTGAACAATTTTAGCCTTAAAACGTTTATTTAGGCGAAAAAGTCATAGTAACTCGAAAAAATCATATATATATTTTTTTTAATAGGAAGTTTTCAAATAGAATGTTCATGCTAGAGGCAATGACAGTTGACATCATATACAACATACCTGTCAATTTCTAGAGTGTGCCATCAAATTTAAAAAAATGGCAGCATGCAGAATATCTGTCTGCAGCTGTTTCGCAATTTTTATACCCGAGCGCACTTGTGCACAAGGGTATTATAACTTTGTTCACATAACGGTTGTTTGTAACAGGCAAAACGAATCGAGATAGATATAGACAAATGTATACATAAATGATCAGAATGAAAAGAGAAATCGATTAAGCGGTGACTGTCTGTCCGTCCGTCCGTCCGTCCGTCCGTCCGTCCGTCCGTCCGTCCGTCTGTCCGTCTGTGCACACGATAACTCGAGTAAAAATTGAGATATCGTAACGAAACTTGGTACGTGGACTTCTTTTGGGCATAGGACGGACGGTATTGAAAATGGGCGAAATCAGACAATAACCACGCCTACCTCTCATATAACGGTAATTTTCAGAAATACAAAAACTGCAATATTTTAGTAACTACTAAAGATAATTCACTCAAAATTGATATTTGCAATGAGTTTTAGACGAAAAATAAGAATATTAAAAAATTGTGGCAAATGGGCGTAGCCACGCCTACTTATGGTTACATGTGTATATCTTGGTAACCGCTGCACCAATTTCTTCCAAACTTGGCACAGTTGTTGGTCCTGCTACAACATACCAAATGGCTGAAAATTTTTAAAATCGGACAATAACCACGCCCACATCCCATATAACGGTAATTTAGAAAAATACGAAATCCTCGATAAATCAGTAAATATTAAAGCTAATTTATTCAAAATTGATGGTTGCAACAATTTTTTACCAAGAAATACGCTTATGATACAATTTTGGAAAATGGGCGTGGCACCGCCCACTTATGATCACATATATGTATCTCGCTAACCGTTCTAGCAATTTGAACCAAACTCGGTATGGTTATTGTGCTTGTCACATAAAAGCAAAGCGTTGAAAATTATTGAAATCGGACTAAAATTACGACCGCTTTTCATATAACGGTATATTTCAGAAATGCTTGAAACTGCAATATTTCGAAATTTAAGGACGCTAATTTACTTAAAATTTATACACCCCGGCTTATCGTGTAGCGGTAGCTTTCGGAAAGGTGGAAAAC